AAACAACTGCTCTATTGAACAACTGCCCGAGTAAACAACTGGGTAAACCGAGTCAACATCTGTTCCTAATCCCCCCCCCCAAACACAAATACCATAACCTAGGGATGGGTTAGAAAGTAGTACAGTTTAATAATGATGTCTGAGACACATAATTGCATGTCTTTTTTTTTTTAAGAGAATGACCACTATTCTGAAAATGTACACACCTGGACAGTAAGTCGAGGTGTGTACCTGTGAATTTATCCTCGTTGTGTCTTTTAATTAGTATACTGTTAAGCTCAAATGGTCTTATGAACACTGAATGTGAGTTTCTTAAGATCCAAGTGGATATCTTGCCAATTTTCAACATTAATCGAGATGGTGCAGAAGTGTAGGAGAGATATAGCAAGGATAACGTTGATAGTACAGTTCTTAAGTGATCCGTAAGGATGGTATGATGTACAACACTTATGTACAACACTCGTTATGTTTTCTTTGATATCGCAGTTTTTGTTTATTCAAATTACCAATCAAGTTAAAATATTTTAGTTTTTTTGGAAAAAAACCTTTCGAGCTCCAAATTTGTATCCACACCCCCAGCAACCTACACAGGAGCTGTGTCTCGACCCCAGCAACCACAAACAGGTGAGTACACAGTCCTGATGAAGACAACACACAGTAAACTAAGCTACCTTGGGAGGGACGCTCCTTCCCACAGATTAACTCTCAGTTTGTATTCACCAGTTTACATGAGTCCTGTTTTACTGGACCGATCTTGTACCTTGTGACTTGAGGTCCGGTACTGTCTGTTAGGTTTGTATCCGAGCTGTCATCCCGTTACGTAGGGAGTACCTCGTGATACTGTCATCTGATCTGGGTTCATTTTTAAACCTCAGCTCATTTACAGGCCAAGAGCTGTTATCCTACCTCACATAGCCCTATCTAAGGTATACTAACATCCCCAGGATGCCACTCACACCAGTCGACTAACACCCAGGTACCTGCTTATTGCTAGGTGAACAGGGACAGCAGGTGTAAGGTGACTAATACAAAGGTACCTGCTTATTGCTAGGTGAACAGGGATAGCAGGTTTAAGGTGACTAATACAAAGGTACCAACTTACTGCTAGGTGAACAGGGACAGCAGGTTTAAGGTGACTAACACCCAGGTACCTCCTTACTGCTACGTGATCAGGGACAGCAGATGTAAGGTGACTAACACCCAGGTACCTCCTTACTGCTAGGTGAACAGGGACAGCAGGTGTAAGGAAACATGTTCCAACGTTTCCACCCGTGCCGGGGATCGAACCAAGGCCCAATAATAATCCGAAGCTTCATTTTAATGAGACAGACGAGTTTGAAGCCGATCAGAAGTGGCATTCTCGAGCTACTGCACAGCAACGTACACAGCCCAACAACAACCACCAACCCCGACTATGAACAACTGCCACCAACCACCACTACGCACAACTACCACACTACCACCACCACCACCACCACCACCAACAACAACAACAACCACTAGCATCCACCACCAATAGACCCCTGGGTGTCTTCAAGAAGGCACTGGACAGGCACCTAAAGTCAGTACCTGACCAACCGGGCTGTGGTTCGTACGTCAGCTTGCGTGCGGCCAGCAGTAATAGCCTGGTTGATCAGACCCTGATCCACCATGAGGCCTGGTCTCAGACCGGGCCGCGGGGGCGTTGACCCCCGAAAACCTCTCCAGGTAAACTCCAGGTATCACCAACAACAACAACTACCACCCACCACTACCAACAAACACCTGTGTGTACCATAATAACTGTATCACAGTATCATCAAACATGATAACAGGATCACTTAATATATCACACACCTGCTGATAATGATAACAAGCTCACTAAATACTTTATACACACATAATACATAAATTCATTAGGTACGTTATACACCTGAATACATAACGAGACCACTGAATACATCCAACGTTTGTTATAACACGTTATAACAAATCTGGATATGTTGTAACTCGTTATAACACATTTGGACATGTTATAACACGGAGTCCTGAAGACCATAATGAAAATAAGTCTGACTCTTTTGGGATATCCTGGTAATTTACACTATGTATGATCATTGTACTAATGTGTACCTGTACCTAAATATAGCACTTTCTTACCTACTGGTTCATTACGACCCAGGGACAAGAGGGTTCAGACGGCCCAGGGACCTAAGGGTTCATACGGCCCAGAGACCTAAGGGTTCATACGGCCCAGGGCCCTAAGGGTTCATACGGCCCAGGGACCTAAGGGTTCATACAGCCCAGGGACCTAAGGGTTCATACGGCCCAGGGCCCTAAGGGTTCATACGGCCCAGGGACCTAAGGGTTCATACGGCCCAGGGCCCTAAGGGTTCATACGGCCCAGGGACCTAAGGGTTCATACAGCCCAGGGACCTAAGGGTTCATACGGCCCAGGGACCTAAGGGTTCATACGGCCCAGGGACCTAAGGGTTCATACGGCCCAGGGACCTAAGGGTTCATACGGCCCAGGGCCCTAAGGGTTCATATGGCCCAGGGACCTAAGGGTTCATATGGCACAGGGCCCTAAGGGTTCATACGGCCCAGGGACTAAGGGTTCATACGGCCCAGGGACCTAAGGGTTCATACGGCCCAGGGACCTAAGGGTTCATACAGTCCAGGGACCTAAGGGTTCATACGGCCCAGGGACCTAAGGGTTCATACGGCCCAGGGACCTAAGGGTTCATATGGCCCAGGGACCTAAGGGTTCATACGGCCCAGGGACCTAAGGGTTCATACGCCACAAGGACCTAAGGGTTCATACAGCCCAGAGACCTAAGGGTTCATACGGCACAGGGACCTAAGGGTTCATATGGCCCAGGGACCTAAGGGTTCATAAGGTCCAGGGACCTAAGGGTTCATACGGCACAGGGACCTAAAGGTTCATACAGCCCAGGGACCTAAAGGTTCATACGGCACTGGGACCCAAGGGTTCATACGGCCGACGGACTAGAGGTGTGGATTTTTTTTTTTTACATAATTTCCTAAACGTAGAACATATAAATAAATATAGTAATTGCATATTAAAATGTGATGCTATTTGGACCTTTCGAGAAATTTCGAAACAGGAGACACCATTTTGAATGTGTGAACACGGGTTGTCGTAGGAACTTCTGCTAATAATTCGGCGTTTTCCGAGGCATAATGGGGTGTATCGGCCTCAATTCGTGTTTTAGAAATTGCTGATAAGTTCCTGGAGAAGAACTGGGACAGGAAATTTGCGGGACAGCAAGATTTTCTTGTTTACCTGGAGTTTACCTGGAGAGAGTTCCGGGGAAGACGAAAATAGACGATTCAATGAATCCTTCCCAACAACACACCTTAACTGTCTACCCATAATGTGCAGTAGTTTTTGCATTGGCCATCGTAAATTCTAGCTGCCAGGGGTTAGGTTAGGGTGTGTTCCATCAAAGTGTCTTACAGTAATTAAATGGTAAGTGGTAATACATTATTATTATTATTATAATCAAGGGGGAAGCGCTAAACCTGTAGGATTATACAGCGCCTGTGGGGGGATGGAAGGTATTCATGGTAAATTCAGAGAACTGGAGCAAAGATCCAGTTCCCTAGATCAAGAGCCCCTCACCAGCATCAAGGAACCTTCCTTGAGGGGAATTGGTAATACAAAGTTATTTTTAATAACGCTAACAATTTATGTATAATAATTATATTTATTGCTCCCAGCAAACCTAATCCTATACAGTCCACAAACCTTAATTACCAGAGTAGCTGGCTTTAATGTTATAATTATTAATTTAATTTAATGTCAGGTCTAGCATTTCGTGAGGTGCAGAAGTGGGCAGTCGAAGGAGTTGCAGTTCAGTGACCTACTGTGACTTAAGTCCCACTTACCTCACCCATATTACTTGCAGGTAATGATCTGTAAACCTCCTGCAGGTGATTTGCTCATAATAATAATAATAATAATAATAATAATAATAATAATATTTTTTCACAAGAGGGTTCAGACGGCCCAGGGACCTAAGGGTTTATATGGCCCAGAGACCAAAGGGTTCAGACGGCTCAAGGATCTAAGGGTTCATGTGACCCAGGGACCTAAGGATTCATATACCCATAAACTAGATGTTTCAGACAGCCCAGGGACATGAGGTTTCAGACTGCCCAGTGACTAAAGAGTTCAAACGGCCCAGGGACCTAAGGGCTCAAACGACCCAAGGACCTAAGGGTTCAGACGGTTCAAGGACCTAAGGGTTCATATGGCCCAGGGATCTAAGGGTTCATACGGCCCAGGGACCTAAGGGTTCAAACGACCCAGGGACTTAAGGGTCATACACCCAGGAAGCAGAGGGTTCAAACGGCCCATGAACCTAAGAGTTCAGAAGACCCAGGAACCAGAGGGTTCAGACGGCCCAGGGACCTAAGGGTTCAGATGGCCCAGAGACCTAAGGGTTCATAGCCCGTTGACCAGAGGGTTCAGACGGCCCTCGAGCCGTAAGAACCCTTAGCCATCAATAACAACAACACTCCCACGTTTGAAACGTCAGCCTCTGCCTCCACGTCACTATATCCTCATTTTTACTCACGAAAAAGCAACCATCACTCACAATCTCCTCCTCCCAAAGAAGAATAAGAAGCGCAAGAAGGTTTCAGTGGACGTCTTGGTGAATGCTGTTAATCTTAGTTAGTGTCCAGTGAAGAAGACTTAAAGAAGTGCCAGTATAGAAAGTTTCGGTGGCTTCCGGAGGAGAAACTTCTTAAGTAAGCTATACGTATCTGCAAGAATAAGGTTTCATTAGCATATGTGAGCATTTTGGGGTGGATTTGTGGGATTTTTTTATATTTTGGTTGGAATTGTTCCGTGCGCGTGGTTGGAATTTCGCCTCGATGACCCGCCAGGGTTTAGCACTTCTTCAGTTATTATAGTAATGGTAACATCCCACCCTTATTTCATCCCACATTATCCTTGAATTTGTTCATTTATTTTCCCTCATTTTCTTTTATAACTTATTCAGAATTACCACTCCTACCTAAGCACTTATTCTCAGATGTTATTATTATTGTTACTATTATTATTATTATTATTATTATTATTATATTGTCCCCACTTGTTGTATAATATTATGTTACTAGTATCAAGCCATTCACCTTACTTTTTACAGCTTTTCCTGCAAAGTTCTTAAGTTTAGCCTGGAATTGATTATCTGGTCATTACCAGAAGATTGTACGTCAGCTGTCGGACATTAGTTGTTAATCTGCAACACAGATTGCTTCCTAATTCAGGTTGGTTTTGATTAATAGAGCAGTAATTAAAAAAAACAACAGGGGCAGAAAACATATGGAACTAGATAAATTTGAGATAATCATTCTAGTATAGTATTGGTTTACAGGTAACAGTAATAATAATAATAGTAATAATATCTTTATTTACTACAAGTACATGTACAAGGTATACAGACCATAGCTGACATCAATGACATACTAGTATATTGAAAGCTGCTTGTTATGCAGAGCATTTCGGGCAAATTAGGTCAGTTTTGTTCCAGGATGCGACGCACACCAGTCCACTAACACCCAGGTACCCATTTTACTGATGGGTGAACATAGGCAACCAGTGTAAAGAAACACTCCAATGTTTCTACCCTCACTGGGAATTGAACCCAGACCCTTGCCGTGTGAAGCGAGAGCTTTAGTCACCAGGCCACGGGGCACCGTAAGAAGAATGTGGTTATGTTCCTAGTGGGCTGTTAGACTCTTATGCACAAACGTGATTTTCATGTTTTAAAATCATGTATTGTATCATAATACTGTATATATTTGTCTTTTCAGGTTGGTAATGGGAGCCTTCTAGTTACTAGTGATGCCTACTTCCCAGTTCCCACGGCTCCGACAGTGTGACAGACTTGATAATCTGTGTTTGTCTACATTGAAGAGGTCTCTTCTGCGAGCTTTTTATGTTTTGGGCAAAAAACGATGCATAAGCACACCTGATGGTTTGCTTGGTGGTGGAAATCATAATCACGATGTTACAAAGCTTTGTGAAAAAGACACTCTCTCACCAATAGAAGAAATACGATCGTACCTGTTTCCGAAACTTCCCATATGCTATCGGCAACAAGTTTTTGAGGAAATTTTTATTTCAATGGCATGTCCTGAATTTGATAAAAATAAAATTGTAACTGAATTAGAATTTAAATTCAAATCTTATGATGTAGTAGCAGGTACCAGTGACATGAATCAGATAATTCAAAATTATTTAAAATGTTTACTGCTTGGGTATGTGACCAAATTAGATTTCAGTGCTTTGTATGCCATGGAAAGTTGTTGGGTAGCTAGATCCCGAAGAATTTTGCACACATGGAATGAAGTCAAAGGAGAAGGCTCCATGTGTGTCAAAAAATTAGAAAATGGTTGTAATGAAATTGGTTTGAGGAATGTTAAAGCCATGTGGAAGGATCTGATATTTCAGCATGGTAGAGCAGTCAGTGATGGAGCAGTTGCCTCTGCTCCATACTTTCGTGAGCTGGTTGACATAAATGTTGACCATGTGGCAACCGGCCAGCTTGTGTGGTCGATAGGCTGTAACTGCCCTTATCTGGAAAAATTAAGTTTGTACCTAGATGCTACAGATAGAAGTAGATATAGTAAACATTTTGAAGATGAGTTAGTGAGTGGTTTAACGGCTTTGTATGGTCATAAGAAATTTACTCCAACCTCTTATCGAGGACGACCAGTAGGTTGCCCCAAACTTCAGACTTTAATTATGCCTAATTTGGAAAATGTTGAAAAGCTAGAGATCTGCTCAGCTAAGCTTTTGTGTTATTTACCGAGCCTTCAAGAAATTTACAATTTATGCACCGCAAGAACATTTGAAGCCCTACTGAATGAAAACGACTTTAAGCGAAAGCCTCTGTCCCTCATCAACATAGATGAATCGTATCCAGATGAGCCCACCACAGAGGACATTTGTGATCATTACAATGTGCAAGTTAAGTATTTTTTTCCAAATCTGACTACTGTAAAAATGGTTCAGAGTAAGCACAGAAGCAGCCTCAGAATATTGTCCAATTTTCCTAAAGTAAACAACTTGGAAGTTCTTTTGTCTGATGTGGGTGAACTGGAGTTTGGCATTAACTTTGGTCGAATAACACATTTTAAAAACAATTGTAGGTGGGATGAGAAGAGACTTGCTGGGTTCTGTCAACGAGCACCGAACCTTGAGCAACTGTCTTTTTCTTCAGGTTCTCTTCACAAACACAGGAAATCTAGGGACATCATCTCTTTTCCAGCGTTGAAATTAATTACGTTGCATAATCTGGACTACATCGACCCTGAGCCATTCATTTCATTGATTAAAGGAACTAAAGTTCTCACTCACATAATCATAGAAGATTTTGATAAAGGAGAATGTAGTCATAATCTGTTAACTGTTATTAATGATAAAGTTATTGCTGCTATCATATCATCACTGAAAAAGTTAGTTAAATTTCATGCAGGCTTGAGAGATTACTGTGCATGCTGCCAGTATGCCATGACTATGAAAAGTGTTCATCACTTTTTTAATAACTGTCCAGACCTAGAAGAGATTGGTAATTTATTTCACTGGGACATTCCCCACCATGATGTATTGGCTCTGAAGAAAGAGGCAAAGGAAAAGAACTGGGATATTAAATTATATCCATCTGACAGTTTCTGATGCTTTTGAGTTGCAAAATATGTGAAAGGTTTAATTATCATAGGAGTATCGAAGATTGCAAGCCATTCGTTGTGATTGTTGATGAAAGGACAGGGAGAACCCTCGCTGAAGTTCCATCACTTCAACTTAAAACAAGCTAGTGGTAGCAGGAATGACATTAGTACTTACAACGGAAGTTCAAAGTTGGGCTGTGCTGTAACCATCAAGTGCAAATCGGAATAGTACTAACATTCATGTGTAGTGTGTGTAAATGATAGAAAAACAAATCATGAAAACAATATTATCCAGAATTTTCTGTATTATCTCAGGTACACCATGTGACCTGATGAGCTGTTGGAGTGTGAGCAGGGTAATATTTTGTGAAGGGATTCAGGGAAACCGGTTAGCCGGACTTGAGTCCTGGAAATGGGAAGTACAATGCCTGCACTTTAAAGCTGAGGGGTTTGGGATATTGGCTGTTTGGTAGGACTTCTGAACTGTCGTATCTGAGCGCCTCTGCGAAGACAGTGATTATGTATGAGTGAGGTGAAAGTGTTGAATGATAATGAAAGCATTTTCTTTTTGGGGATTTTCTTTCTTTTTGGATCACACCCTGCCTCGGTGGGAGACAACCGACAGGTTAAAAAAAAAAAAAATCATGGGCACCTTCGTAAATAGAAAAAACAAACATACATACACATATATATCTTTCTTTCTTTCTTTCAACACACCGGCCGCATCCCACCGAGGCGGGGTGGCCCAAATGGAAAAACGAAAGTTTCTCCTTTTACATTTAGTAATATATACAGGAGAAGAGGTTAGTAGCCCCTTGCTCCTGGCATTTTAGTCGCCTCTTACAACACGCATGTCTTACGGAGGAAGAATTCTGTTCCACTTCCCCATGGAGGTAAGAGGAAACAAACAAGAACAAGAATAGAAAGAAAATAGAAGAAAACCCAGAGGGGTGTGTATATATATGCTTGTACATGCATGTGTAGTGTGACCTAAGTGTAAGTAGAAGTAGCAAGATGTACCTGAAATCTTGCATGTGTATGAGACAGAATAAAAAGACACCAGCAATCCTACCATCATGTAAAACAATTACAGGCTTTCGTTTTACACTCGCTTGGCAGGATGGTAGTACCTCCCTGGATGAATGGTATTTAGGACCTGACGATCTGTTGAGTGTGAGCAGGGTAATATTTAGTGAAGGGATTCAGGGAAACCAGTTATTTTTATATCTTGAGTCCTGGAAATGGGAAGTACAATGCCTGCACTCTAAAGGAGGGGTTTGGGATATTAGCAGTTTGGAGGGATATGTTGTGTATCTTTATACGTATATGCTTCTAAACTGTTGTGTTCTGAGCACCTCTGCGAAAACAGTGATTATGTGTGAGTGAGGTGAAAGTGTTGAATGATGATGAAAGTATTTTCTTTTTTGGGGATTTTCTTTCTTTTTGGGTCACCCTGCCTCGGTGGGAGACGGCCGATTTGTTGGAAAAAAAAAATATATAAATAAAATAATATTTTTGTATGCATCTTTTGCACAGCTGTTTTTTTTTTAAATTCCTTTTAAATAAAATGAGCGAATAAATATGTACAGTATGTATGTTGCTGAGTCACGGCTCTTGTATGTATGTTATTTTTTTATTATAAGTGATGCAGTATAGCAGATTTTGGTTACTTGCCATGCAGATTATTAGTAGTAATTTTTTACTTCTATATGATTTAAAGATATTTTATGTGGCAGCAATTGCCAAGTTGTACTGTAGTATTAGCTTTTTATTGTACTGTGTTTTTTAAAGCATTGAATCTAGTTCTAATAGATTTGTCTTCATTTTCATTCGGGAAAATTATCAGCCCACAGATGAGGCCTGGTTATGGACTGCTCCATGGGGGTGCTTGACCCCAAAACACTCTCCAAGTACATATACTCCAGGTAGAGGGGCCGTACAGCGTGTGGAGAATATTGCAAAATATCCTAGAAGTGTTCTAATGAATTATGCAATACTTTACATGATACAGACCTCATAAAAGTTATTTATGATTACTTACTATATGAGCTTGCTTTATGTTTACAGAAATTACAGTATAAGTTTTATTGGATGTAAGCCTTCCATACTATAAACATATGAAAGGAAATGCCAAAGTTGAAAAAAAAAAATTAATTTCAGTCGGTGCATTTTCTCTGGCAGGTTTAGGTCTGAAGGTCACGCCTTTTGTAATTACGTACATATTCTTGTATGTGTTCTAAAAAAAGGGTTAAACCTGAATGGACTTTTGTATTTGATTTTACAATACATTATTAACATTTGGTACAGTAGTTTCTTTACTAAATACCTTGCCAAAATATGTACAATGAACTATTAATTTCATGGACTAATAGGGAGTAGTGGGTGGTATTTAATGGCAGTTGCAGTGGATAGAGATGAGATTGTTTTGCCCTGATTGTCACAATAACGGACAATTCTGTAGCCAATGGTCTCTGTCCCTTGTTTCTGAATTGGTTAACCCAGAAAATTTTGTTCTATATTTCAGTAGTTCATTAAATTGAAGGTTTACTGTACAGTACCTAACAGGAATTAAATTTGTATTATGAGACAACAAACTTGAAACAAAAACTCTGTGATTAAGTTGCATTGACACCATTTTGCTCTGTGTAGAGCTTTATTAAGTATAATTGAGTTGATAAAGCTCTACACTGAGTGAAACACAGGCTCAATGAAAGCTTGCTCTTCACCTGTCTTCTCCCTTCATTAGTCAGCAGTAGAGTCTTTTTTCAAACTTGGTTATGAAGCAATACTCACTACAAGGTGTATGATGTGTCCCTCCTCACATTGTGCTGCAGTACCTATTATATGTTTGCTATGCAGTTATGATTATGCGCACGATGCAACACTAATAAGACAGTAGTGTATGCAGATATGGTATTTTATTGAAAGGAAGCCCCTCAAAGGAGGTTCCTTGATGCTGGTGAGGGGCTCTTGATCTAGGGAATTGGATTTGTGTTCCCTGAATTGAGCCTGAATACCTTCCATCATCCCCCCCACTTGTGCTGTATAATCCTACAGGTTTAATGCTCCCCCAAGATTATAATAATTATATGGAATACTAAAAGGACGTTTTGTCCACCAAGGACTTTTATCAAGTCTCATTTTGGTGAGAACTGAAGAGGTTCCTGGTGGACAAAACATTTTTTTCAATAAACTGCAAAATGTCTTATTAACAAACAGTGGAACCTCGGTACTCAAACAGCTCCCTACTTGAACAATTCAGTATTCGAACGCTTTGTTCAGTAAAAAATCGCTCGGCAGGCGAGCGTTTGCTCGGCACTTGACCAAAGAAACATGACCTGCCAGAACTTTGCTGTAAACTATTTCGAGTTTCTTTGCATTTTTTGGTGTTTTTTTATATTACATATTTGCGTAAATAAGTCACCATGAGGCCTATGAAAATTAGTGATAACAGCCAACGAAAGAGAAAACTGGTTGGGAAAAATTTGTTTGGTACTCTAACAGATCGGCACCTGAAGAGCCTTCTGGAACAAACTGAGTTTGAGTTCTGAGGTTCCACTGTACTTGTTGGTATATAATACCATTGATATACTGTACGTACATTATGCAACAATATATGTTATATAATTAAGCTTATAAATAACAAAAAAGGCACAATACCGTGACTGGAACGATACACAAATAACCCGCACATAAAAGAGAAGCTTACGACGACGACTTCGGTCCGACTTGGACCATTGACAAAGTCACACTAACAGAGGTGGAGCAGGACGGCTATATATAGGCAGGAAGAGATGGTGGTAGTAGTAGTAGTAGTAGTAGTACAAGAGTTGTATATGATACCGACAAGATGAAATTAAGACACATGCACAACACCCGGGCATCCCCATCATAGGCGTTTCGCCATCCAGTGGCTGGCTGGATGGCGAAACGCCTATGATGGGGATGCCCGGGTGTTGTGCATGTGTCTTAATTTCATCTTGTCGGTATCATATACAACTCTTGTAATAATAATAATAATAATAATAATAATAATAATACTACTGCTGCTACTGCTACTGCTACTACTACTACTACTACTACTACTACTACTACTACCACCACCACCACTACTACCACTACTACTACCACTACTACCACCACTACTACTACCACCACTACTACTACCACCACTACTACTACCACCACTACTACTACCACTACTACTACTACCACTACTACTACTACCACTACTACTACTACCACTACTACTACCACTACTACTACTACCACTACTACTACTACTACCACTACTACCACCACTACTACTACTACCACCACTACTACTACTACTACCACCACTACTACTACTACCACCACTACTACTACTACCACCACTACTACTACTACCACCACTACTACTACTACTACCACCACCTCTTCCTGCCTATATATAGCCGTCCTGCTCCACCTCTGTTAGTGTGACTTTGTCAATGGTCCAAGTCGGACCGAAACGTCGTCGTAAGCTTCTCTCTTTTATGTGCGAATTAAGCTTATGTAGTAATGGTATAAACATAATCAACTATGTATGGTTGTATAATGTATATGCTCACACATTTTTCTATTTCTATTGTCTATGTTTGTATGTTCATTTATTTTTATGCAGCACATATTATTATAATTAAAACTAAGTGCTAAACCCACAAGGGTCATACAGTATCTGCAATGATTTCTCTCTCTGGACTAATTCACACTTAGTGTCTAGATTATAGAAAATTGCAAATATTGAGAAGCTTTGCCCAACATAAAGGGGTTCATACAAGAATCTGACTCTTTTAACTGAGGCTTATTAGAAAGGATAGGTATTCTATTGACTAGCATTATATAAAATCTAGATTGTTTGGCACTATGTCTCTATGTCCTGTGATTCTATTGTTTATGTTGTTGGAAACAAATCTGATAGTCAATGGTTGTTTTGGTTGGGGAAAATAATATATAGTCTGCATTGTGTTGAGATGCAGTGATTGATGTAGTTCAAAACTTGAGTGTCATGTGTTGTAAACCTCACTTCAACTCAAGGTTTCTATCCACCCTTAGATCTGCTTTATTGAAAACCTTGTTGCAGGTGAAGAGATCTTGATCCAAGAAATTGGAGCTATCCTCTTCCCTGGACTGAACCTGGTCACCCCACATTTCCCAGGTGCTGGATAATCCCTACAAGTTCAGCAATTCCCCATGAATATAATAATTTAATGTAAGCATTTATCCTCTTATTCTAACCCCATAAATTATGGTAGATGCTGATTCTCTAGCTTTTACACTACCTGCACTTATAGTTATCTTGTTTTTGCATTTTGTTCTGCTATTGCTGATATTATTCATGGGGAAGTACTAAACCCACACTGGTTTTTGGAAGTAATCGGGTTTGACCTGAAGGAAGGAAGGGCTGTGCAAATTCCTTTGATCTTTCAAAACCCCTTTGTCAGCATTGAGGCATCTTTGAAGGGTATTGTTCTTCAAGAAGTTCCCCTTCCTCCTCCTCCCCTTCCTCCTCCTCCTCCCCTTCCTCCTCCTCCTCCTCTTCCTCCTCCTCCTCCTTCTCCTCCTCCTCCCCTTCCTCCTCCTCCTCCTCCCCTTCCTCCTCCTCCTCCCCTTCCTCCTCCTCCTCCTCCCCTTCCTCCTCCTCCCCTTCCTCCTCCTCCTCCTCCCCTTCCTCCTCCTCCTCCTCCCCTTCCTCCTCCTCCTCCTCCCCCTCCTCCTCCCCTTCCTCCTCCCCTTCCTCCTCCTCCTCCTCCCCTTCCTCCTCCTCCTCCTCCCCTTCCTCCTCCTCCTCCTCCCCTTCCTCCTCCTCCTCCCCTTCCTCCTCCTCCTCCCCTTCCTCCTCCTCCTCCTCCTCCCCTTCCTCCTCCTCCTCCTCCCCTTCCTCCTCCTCCTCCTCCTCTTCTTCCTCCTCTTCTTCCTCCTCCTCTTCCTCCTCTCTCTTCTTCCTCCTCTTCTTCCTCCTCTTCTCCTTCTTCCTCCTCTTCTTCCTCCTCTTCTTCCTTCCTCCTCTTCTTCCTCCTCCTCTTCTTCTTCCTCCTCTTCTTTTCTTCCTCCTCTTCTTCTTCCTCCTCTTCTTCCTCCCTCTTCTTCTTCCTCCTCTTCTTCCTCCTCCTCTTCTTCCTCCTCTTCTTCTTCCTCCTCTTCTTCTTCCTCCTCTTCTTCTTCCTTCTCTTCTTCTCCTCTTCTTCTTCCTCCTCTTCTTCTTCCTCCTCTTCTTCTTCCTCTTCTTCTTCCTCCTCTTCTTCTTCTCTTTCTTCCTCTTCTTCTTCCCTCTTCTTCTTCCTCCTCTTCTTCTTCCTTCTTCTTCTCTCCTCTTCTCTTCTCTTCTTCTTCCTCTCTTTTTCTTCCTCCTCTTCTTCCTCCTCTTCTTCTTCTCTCTTCTTTCCTCCTCCTCTTCTTCTTCTTCTTCTTCTAAAAGCTCTTTGATATCTTCCTTGTGCAACATGGGTATATTTATTGTTGAAATGTTTCACCTACACAGTAGGTTTCTTCAGTCAAATATCTGACTGAAGAAGCCTACTGTGTAGGTGAAACATTTCAACAATAAAGATAAACAACTGTTGTACCTGTGTCTTATTCATTAACTTGTCAGTATTATATGTATACCATCTTCAATATATCTTCCTTGTGCTCCATGCACATTACCACTTGCATCATCTTCCTCACTTTTTTTTTTTGCAGCAAGATAATGAATATTAATAACATTTTTATAAACATTTGCTGGAATACATTTAGTGCTGAAGATAGTGCCACCTTATCCTTAACAATAATGAGTCTTTACAACCCTCAAGGAAGATACCTGTGTGACAGTAATGAGGCTCTTGATCCAAGGAACTTGACTTATCTTCCCCTTCCCTGGATAAAACCCCAACGGATTTAGTGCTTACCCGTTGATTAGGTTAGGTAAGGTTCGTCAGGAAACAGGACAAGTGTTTCCCGACGTGGGTCTTACATGATGACCCACCGTTAGAGCTTCTGGTCATCTGACCGCCTTCCACTGGCTTACTGGTCTACCCCTTTAACCCTTAAACTGCCCAAACGTAGATCTACATTCACATGTGTAGTGCTCCGACCTTGATTTTCCCCATTTGAAAGCGTGTAAAAAAACGTAGATCTACATTCGGAGCCCCCTGCATGTGGACGTAGATCTACGTTTGGACAGTTTAAGGGTTAAAAATTATGGTCATAGTTATAACCATTTAATTTTTGTATATTTTTTGCTTACCCGTAATTAAAATTAAAACATCCTCAAAGGAAGTGCCTTGATGTCGGTGAATTCATAATCCATAGAATTGGAATGGCCCTCCTTTTCCTTGGATTGAACATGATTGTCTCCTTTTCCCAGGTGCTACTTAATCTCTCTAGCTTAAGTTAGCACTTAATAATACTGGTACATATTGCTAAAGCTAGAACTGCAGTGCCATGCCCCAGGTTCTCATCTGTTGCCTCTGACTTTACAAAGCATTGCCTGCATAGCTGCTCCTCTCAAGGGAGGTTCCTTGATGCAGGAGAGGGGCTCTTGATTCAGAGAATTGGATCTGACTTTCTCTTCCTTGAATCAAATCTGAATGCCTCTTGTGCAGTTCGAGTCCTCGTAGGACTGATTATCATAACGCTGGGATAATTGTCATTAATTTCCATAAATGACCATAAATTTATTTAATTTACATTACAAATTTGTTGATATTTATGAACAAAATTAATTAAGATACAGAAAAACTACGATTTTCGTCCAAATGGGTCACTCCAAACTTTCATATCTGAAAATAAAGGCAGGAATAAGCTCAAAATGACATGTTATTGGAACAAGACAAAATTACTTTCTGATAATTCTCTCTTAATATCTACTCTTCTCATGCTAATTCATTATACACCACAGAATGAAACATATATAATTACATTAATTTATGAAATTATCCCTATATTAATGTACTGTACTCAACTGACTGTTAGCAGTTTTATTTATTCTCGAATACTGGCCAGAAAAATCTCATGGCTATCTACGAAAATTATTTTTCAATTTAACAAAACAAAACGAGCTTTATTTCTATAAAGTGGAGTGCAGTACATTATAAAATTATGGTAACTGACATATATAAACTGCTTTATAGAAAGCCTCTTGTTAGGCAGCCTTAAAACTCAATTATGATTACTTGTACATGAGAATAAGAATAGAGTACACCTACCATCCGACTTACGACCGAGTTCGGTTCCGAGAAACCGGTCGTAAGTCGAACTTTACTACTGAATATCAACAAAACATTTTTGTAATGACTTTATTTTATTGTTTTATTTTGGTATTTCATGTTTTACTTTACTTTTTATGTTGTTAGTACTGTATTATATACTGTAAGGTTTAGGATAAACACTGTGTACAACACAAATAGTTGTTTATTTCCCAAAAATTTGGCATAAAAAACACGGTCATAAGTCAAGTGGTCGTAAGTCGAGCAGGTCGTAAGTCGGATGGTAGGTGTACTTAGTTTATATTATATATTATATATATTATATTAGTATATTATATCGGTGGGAGACGGCTGACTTGTTGAAAAAAAAAAATTCAGGAATTTGACGTAAAAATCTAATTTATGATACACTGGTATGCAACTGTGGGGCACGAGGTTTGCAAAATATTTTCGGCAGGGATGATCAGTCTCCTGACTAAATTAAACTTCATTCTTTGTGGGAAAAGAATTCACACAGAACAAATAAATGTAGATATAGAATTTTCTATTTTCTATTTTTTTTTTTAAATAGAATTTTACATTCCATACAAAGATTCTGTCTTGGTAAGCTTTTCTTCTTTATGGAAAATAAGGTCCCAAGTAGATGTACTTAAAATAAAAGTTGTCCCTACAGATTCACAGGCTTTCTAGTACAGTATTATTTAACACACCGGCTATCTATCACCAAGGAAAGGTGACCCAAAAAGAAGAAACACTTTCACTGTCACTCACACTATCACTGTATTGCTACAGGCATGCTGATAATACAGTTCAAATACCCCTCCAAGCTGCAAATATTTCCACCACTTCTTCAGATTGCAGGCACTGCACTTCCCACCTCCAGGACTCAAGTCTAGCTAACCAGTTTCCCTGAATCCCTTGATAAAAGCTACCTTGCTCACGATTCAACAGCATGTTACATCATAAAAACCACTTGCCTCCACTCACTCCTAACACTCACACATGCCTGGTGGATGTCGAAACCCCTCACATACAAAACTTCCTTGCCCCTTCCCTTCAACCTTTCCTAGGGCAACCCCTACCCCACTTTCCCTCGACTATGAATTTTCTGCACAATATTTACGCCACACATTACACACACACAACATCTCCACTGCCTCCAGCCTACTCCTTGCTGCAACATTCACCACCCATGTTTCACACTCATATAAGTGTTAGTACCACTACATGCTCATACAATTTCCTTTTGGCCTCCATAGATAATATTCTTTGTCTCCACAGTTTCCTCAATGCACCACCCACTTTTTTTCCCCCTTGTCAATTCTATGGTTCACTTCATCTTTCACAGACCCATCCACCGACAAGTCAGTTCCCAAATATCTGAACACATTCACTTCCTCCACACTCCCACCTTCAAATCCAGTATCCAGCCTTTCATTACCGAAATTTTTTGTTACTCTCGTCACCTTGTTCTTTCCTATGTTCACTTTTAATTTTCTTCTTTTGCATTCTCCCAAATACAGTGGACCCCCGCATAACGATTACCTCCGAATGCGACCAATTATGTAAGTGTAATTATGTAAGTGCGTTTGTACGTGTATGTTTGGGGGTCTGAAATGGACTAATCTACTTCACAATATTCCTTATGGGAACAAATTCGGTCAGTACTGGCACCTGAACATACTTCTGGAGTGAAAAAAATATCGCTAACCGGGAGTCCACTGTACTTCCACCAACCTTTGCAACTTCTCGTCAGAATCTCCCAAAAGCGCAGTGCCCTCATTAATATCGGGTTTCGATTATTCGATATTTTTACTGACTAGCAACCCACGACTATGAAATTGTAAACCAACCCTAAGGTTATATTCAAATTGTGCTGAATTTCCTTTTTATTCTGGTCGTTCTTTCTTAGGAAAAAATTAACCAGATTAGTGTGATATATAGATTTAGTCTCATGAAAACATGAACTCTAATTTAACCCTTTGACTGTCGAAGGGCCAAATCCTGAAGTTGCTTCTGGTGTCGCAAAATTTTCGAAAAAAAAAAAATTATTTTTTCTTATGAAATGATAGAGAATCTTTTCCCGATTGTAAAGACACCAAAAAAACGAAATTTGATGGAAAACTGACGGAATTACGCTCTCGCGAAGTTAGCGACTTCGGCGATATTTAAAAATCGGCAATTTCGCCCACTTTGAGCCCTATTTTCGGCTAATTCCGTTATTCCAGTCAACCAAACTCATAACTATTTCTTCAGAACTCTATTTTTTCTATCGATTGAGTACAAGAAACTGCCCATTTACCGATTTCAACTACCCAATAACATGGTCAGAAATTTGCAATTTGGCCAATTTCACGAAAATTAAAAAATACGACAATTTCAAAATAAGGTCCAGAATGAACAATGCAGACATTCCTGGCTCTAAAATAACATTTTCTTTGTTCATCAGTCATGTCTCCAGGTCCCTGTGATATTACTCTTGCTTTTTATTTTGAAATTTTATTCAAACAAAAAATAGAAGATTTACTGTTATGCAGACTACTGCAATACTGTAATAATTGTAAAAATTACATCAACCCATTCATGACTGCGTATTAGAATGGCTATTTGGACATTTATTGGACAATGACATCATTTGTTTACTTTTGAACATCGGCAAAAATCAAACATTTCCTGTACTTTGTGCTCCATTTCCAGGTTCTTTTTATAGTAAAATTAATCAAAATCACCTCCATTTCTATAATATAGTTTCCATTCTATCAAATGAGACCAAGAAAACGAGAATACAACCACAAATACTATACGAAAATAGACCACAAAGTCGGCATTTTAATTAAAAAAAACGGTCGGAGTTTTTTTTTTCTCATTATGCACTGCGTGCTCCAGGATTTTTTTTATGTGGTGCACACTGACCACACAGACCCATTCTCTCACATGTGGGCCTACTAGCTTTCTCCTGCCTGATTTGAAGCCGCTAGAATTTATGAGTATATATACGTCAAACACGGTACCTCGCAAACGTATATATACGGCCGCGACAGTCAAAGGGTTAAAAGAAAATCTGATATGCAAACAAGTCTGTGTTGTTCAGGTTTTGGTTTCATCGGACCTATCATAATGTAGCCCTCAGGCGGATTCATAATATAGAAACGAATAAGGTAACAACATAAAACAAAAATAACAACAAAACAACAACACAATAACAACAATAATAATTTTATTTTCCAAGATGAGTTACACACATAAAGTTTGTGAACACAAGAAAGAAGGAACACTGCAGCAGGCCCACTGGCCTGCTGCAACTACACACAGGGCCCAATAAAAAACATTTTTATTCCCAGTGTCACTAATTCAGAAAATAAAATACAAATTTAGAGCTATATTCTATATTAAAAATCATAAAGCAGCATGACTGGCATACAAGTGAATTTCAAAGAGTCTTTGAAAATGCATGATACTTACTTCCTGGTTGAATCTCCTCCTGTTTAATGTTCTTTCTGTTTTCTGCCTGAATTTTCTCTGCAACAGATTTACACAATTAGAAACTGTGCACATGCACTCGCACACACATACACGCACACACACTGGCCCCACCTCAGTGAAGAGGCAAGGCCAAGAGCTATGATTCATCTCCTGCAACCACAAATAGGTGAGTACACACACACTTGTGGTTAGTATTATTTAAGTATTTAGTATTATTTAAGACTCTTCTCAAAAGCCACCTAATCACCCTAGACTAAATACTCAATACTCAATATCTAACACTACCAATAAATCTACCAATTACCTAAATCCTAAAACTTCATGACTAGACAACCAAGCTCATATATTGACATATTACCACATAGAAGTATACATACCTACCAAAACCAGTACATGTATTACCCTTCACCAAATTGTAGGAGTCTCATACTGTAAACTACTGAAAACTACTACTGAATCATGTTTCATAAAAAGCATTTTCGAATACATGAATATATCCTCTTGTTTGTGTAAATTAGATTCACTTATTATTAATAGAACTACTGTACAACTATGATAATTTCTTTAGTGATAAGTAGTCAGTAAGCCAATGAATTAAGTCAGCCCATAATGCCAAGGCATAATAAAGGCTCCCTTTGCACTGCAACCCATCATTGTAAAAATATAATCTCAATGTACTACTTGCAAAGAAATAAATGAATCTGAATCTGAGAGGCCCTTCAAGGGGAGTACTATATCTTATGTTGGGGAAGGCTTTTGGATCAAAGGAATTGGAGCTACCACTCCCTCCCTCAGATCAAATCTGATTATGTCACACTCCCCAGGCACTATATGACCCCTATGGGCTCTGTGAATAATAGTAATAATAATGCTGTATTACTAAGGATCACCCAGAAAAGAATACAGTACAGTACCTATTATGAATGATTATGGTAATTCTTTTCTTCTCCCACAGTTTCTGCATCATAACTTGGGAATGGCTCTTCTGATTGGCATCAAACTTTCAATGCTGGTTTATCCTACATTTAAGTTAGACTCTGAGTTTGGGTTTGAAGTATGAGCTAGAGGAAGAAGAGGAATAATAATAATATAATAATAATATATGGAACAAAAAGGCACAATACTGTGACTGGAACAATACACAATGGTCCAAGACGAACTGAAACATCATCATAAGCTTTTCTCTCTCCTATATGCGGGTTATTTGTGTAATAATATACGTACAATGCTTGAAAGTAATACAGGGGAACCCTATCTTAAGCCAACAATGGACACACTATCATTTCTTACAACTGTTTACAGGACATTTACCGTATTTCGTGGCTTATGAGACTTGTTTTAGTTTCAATGGCTCAACACCGGACGTAACTGGGAGAGCTACAGCCCACCCCACACCCCAAACTTATAGCTCCCATCACTGACCTTCAGTATATAGGATGCAGGGTGGTGTTTGGAGACATTTTATGGAAAAAACATGCATCTAATAAGCCATGAAATACAGTATTTAATTTAAACTTGAGATGGAAGATTATGTAGAATTTGCTAATTCATTAAAAAAATTCAGACCTAAAGATTGGGGAGTATTTTTGTACTGTGTCCATTGTGACTATCAGCATGTGTCATTTACAGTCAGCTAAAAATTAACCCATCGTTTCCTCCTCTTGTTCTTCTAACACATGCTATTAATTTTATCGTGCATGTGGTCTACCACATAAGAATTCGTAGAAAGCACTTATTCATAGTAACATTCAACCTTAAAGCATGAGGATTAGTACTTGCTGTGTTCAGTGTGATCATTGGTAAGTATCATCTACAGTTGGCTAATTGTGCACAAGCTCAACAAGCTTGTGCACAATTATATACTGTACAATAATACAATAATCTTAAGCATTAAAAAGGTTTACCTGGAGTTTACCTGGAGAGGGTTTCAGGGGTCAACGCCCCCGTGACCCAGTCTGAGACCAAGCCTCATGGTGGATCAGGGTCTGCTCAACCAAGCTGTTACTGCTGGCCGCACGCAAGCTGACGTACGAACCACAGCCCGGTTGGTCAGGTACTGACTTTAGGTGCCTGTCCAGTGCCTTCTCAAAGATAGCCAGGGATCTATTGGTAATTCCCCTTATGTATGCTGGGAGGCAACTGAACAGTCTTGGGCCCCGTAAACTTATTGTGCTGTCTCTCAGTGTACTCTTGGCACCCCTGCTTTTCACTGGGGAAATGTTGCATCTCCTGCCGAGTCTTTTGCTATCATATGGAGGATTTTCGTGTGCAGGTTTGGTACCAATCCCTCCAGGACCTTCCAAGTGTACGTATATTATTATGTATCTCTCTCGCCTGCATTCAAGGGAATACAGATTAAGGATCTTCAACCGTTCCCAGTAGTTTAGGTGCCTTATCGCACTTATGTGTGCCATGAAAGTTCTTTGTACACTCTCCAGGTCTGCAATGTTGCTAGCCTTGAAGGGGGCCGTTAACGTACAGCAGTATTCCAGCCTAAAGAGCACAAGCGATTTGAAGAGAATCATCATGGGTTTGGCATCCCTAGTTTTGAAGGTTCTCATTGTCCATTCTATCATTTTCCTAGCGGATGAGGTAGATACATTGTTGTAGTCTTTGAGGGTGAGATCCTCTGACATTATCACTCCCAGGTCCTTCACATTACTTTTCTGCTCTATTGTATAGTTAGAATTTGTGGTATACCCTGACACATTTTTAATTTCTTCAAGTTTTCCATATCTGAGTGGTTGAAATTTCTCCTCGTTGAACTTCATATTGTTTTGAGTGGCTCATTCGAAGATTTGGTTGATGTCTGCTTGGAATCTCACAGTGTCTCCGATGGAGGTCACTGCCATGGTGATCCGGGTGTCATCCGCAAAGGAAGACACGGAGCTTTGGCTTACATCTCTGTCTGTCAGAAATGAGGATGAGGAATAGAATGGGAGCGAGTACTTTGCCTTGTACAAATATAGTACTGTGGATTCGTCATACATTATTTTTTTTATAATTTCGGCACAAAAATTACACCTCATCCAACTTGAAGTGTTCATTGCAGGATAACAAATTTTTGACTTGACCAGCTTTGGATTAATAAGATTCAATTGTATATCACTGCTCTACTTAATATTAAAGCAGTTCCCCCCCATCTCTTACTAAATACTGAATTATACTGACGAAGTCATTCTGAAAGTACAGTATAGTACAGTGTGTGTGTGTAAATAACAAAGGTTCGTAAAATGTACAAAATACACGTTTAAATAATCAACACACATTCAGCACAGGCGACTCTAGCACAGGGGAACAAAATAAAACTATCACCCAACTGCCTGTGTCTGTCTGGAGTTGGAATGATTAAATCAAGCTTCATGAGCCATTTGCTATTTTGATTACATTGATTTATAAGATATTTTGAGTCCTGCTCCAGTTTTAGTTGCAGTTCCCTTTAAATAGATGCCTTGACACTGGTGAAGGGCTCTTGACAAAAGGAAATGAAGCTCTGCCCCCCCTGCCTTCCCCTCTTTTGTGGTGAACTGATTACTTTCCATTCTCCAAGTGCTGTATGACCCCTATGGGTTTAGCATTTTCCAGTTAATAAAAATAAAATTTAGCTGCAGATTTTGCAAAGCCTACATAACCGCATGCATACCCTTGATGTTGGTGAAGAGCTCTTGATCCACAGAATTGGAAACAATCATTTTGGGTCAAACTTAATTGCCTCCCATTCCACAGGCACTATGATCCCTACTGGTTTAGTGCTTCCTCATAAATAAAATAACAATATGCTATGCACAGTGACCGAGGAGTTCATGCAGTGTTACAGGACCCAGAGCAATGAACTCAAGATGAGCCTTACTGTAAGTGTCGATGTTCATCATCGGGTAAATGATGATGGGATAGACAGTGGCACTAATGAATCCCACCAGACACCCGACAAACATGCCATAGCGCCATCCATGTAAATTAACCATTGTCTGAAAAGAAATCATTGCAATAAAGTTTGCAGTACCAAAACCATGAGGAATTAAACACATGTACAACACCTGGGTATCTTAATTTCAAGACTTAATGGCATCCAGTGGCTTTTCCAGTTCAATACAAAGACGATATATGAAAACAGTAAAAGATGTGAGAATTGGATTCAGATTCATCGAGACTAAGGTACTGAACTTTGGATTCAAGGACAACTGACTGATTACCTCATTTTCTACTGTCTTCTATATACTGTTTTGTAAAGCCATGGGACTGATTACCTCATTTTCCACTGTCTTCATTTATCATCTCTGTATTGGCTTGAAAAAACCACTGGATGGAGAAACATCTTTCAAATAAAGAGACCCAGGTACAGGTCGGCCATCACTAACCCAGCATCATTGGGAGACCTGTAGGGTGCTGGATTAGTGAGTTTGCCAGATTACAGAGTGGTTAGGTTATAATACACTTAATTAACCTATCAATAGAGACTCTTTCTGCTACATTATCCTCATTTTCATCACTGATTTCTCCTCCATTGGCTTGCTGCTGTGGATTTACAACCATCTGGACAATTTCTGAGTCAGTATAATGATGAAATTTGAGTTAGTATAATGATTTGAGTCAGTATAATGATGAAATTTGAAATTATGCTAGCTGAAGTTAATGATGGATTACTGATGGAACTGGATAACTGATTGCCGGATTAGTGATGGCCGACCTGTACTGCATTTGTCTAATTCTTTGTCTGGAAAGAAAGATGAACATATGAACAATAACTGCAATTATTCATGATATGTTTAGCACTTTCTTGTGACTAAGAAATTTTATTTATTATTTTATTAACACATCGGCAGTTTCCCACTTAGGCAGGGTGGCCCAAAAAGGAAAAACTTTCATCATTCACTCCATCACTGTCTTGTAATAGATGCACTTACACAACAGTTATAAAACTGCAACATTAACACCCCTCCTTCAGAGTGCCGGCACTGTACTTCCCATCTCCAGGACTCAAGCCCGGCCTGCCAGTTTCTCTGAATCCCTTCATAAATGTTACCTTGCTCACACTCCAACAGCACGGGGAAAGCACTAAACCCATAGCATATTCTTATTTAGGCTTCAGGTATATACATAATAGGCAAGTTTAAGGGTGAATATTTAATGGTTCATATCAGACCGAAAAGTGGTCATAAATTTCACTCTCCTAAGTGCGGGTTTTTTTCTGTATTGTGTATAACCCAATAAAATCAAATGATGATACTTGTGGCTCAACTGGTAGTGGCTTCAGCTTACACACTGAGGAATCAAGGTTTAGCCCATGGACAAGTGGAAACATTGGCCATGTTTCCTTGCACCTGCCGCCCCTGTTCGCCTAGCATTAAGCAGGTACCCGGGAGTCAGGCGACTGGTATGGGTTGCATCCTGGGGAAGAGGATTAAAGGACCCCAATGGAAATAAGCCAGTCTGACAACAGGGCTTTACTGGATCATCCTGGGTTACTAACCCTCCATTGCATTTATTACACAGCCTGTAAACTTCGATAATAAATAACTGCCTATAGGTTGAGCTTGTAATACTGCAGATAAGAAAGTAACATTGTTAGTGGTAAACTAACAAGCGGTTTTTCAAGGTAGCAAGATGCAAGTAGACAAATAATATAATTTGCATTGTAACCAAAAAATTTTTCTTCACGATAATCAATTTACTTTGTCTCTTATGATTGCATGGATTACTGTTTTGGGTTCAATGGTCGTTGTCACCTTTTGGTCCAGTGATGTCTGTTGTATTTTGGGCTCAGTCTGTTCCCACTGTTGGCCCGTGAGTCTGTTGTCCCTCGTTGGCCCGTGTGTCTTTGTCACCTCGGTTGGCCCAGTGATGTCTGTTGTCCCCTCTTTTGGGGTCCAGTGTGTCTGTTGCTACGTTCGTCATGCTTTTGTCACTGTTGGTTTTCGTACATCTGTTTTCACTGTTGGTTCAGTACATCGTTGTCACTGTTGGTTCAGTACATCTGTTGTATTGTATTGTAATGGGCCTTTGTACAGGGGTACTTGTGAAATAGAATTATTTTTTTATTATTATTATTATTATAGAAGCCCCCAAAAAAAATGGGCAGACCCTGGGGGTTTTAGCGTTTGGTTTTTGTTATGATAATTAAAAATATAAATGCTATATTGTTTCAAAAACGAACCCCTCAAGGAAGGTTCCTTGTTTTGGTGAGGGGCTCTTGATTTGGGGAAAATGGTCTGTGCTCCAGTTCCCCGAATTAAGCCTGAAATGCTTCCACATCCCCCCCCAGGGTGTATAATCCCCCGGGTTTTTTAGCGTTTTCCCCCTTTGATTAAATTAATAATAATTTCAGAAAGAACATTCCCATTGTTGTTGTGGGTTTTGTGGGCACTAAAATTTAGTCGATTGACCCTAAACCTCCTGGGAATTTTTTATTTTTATTTTTTTTTAATTTGAAATGATACATAGAAGTCAAGGAAATACAGTGGTTAAATGTAACATATTTTAGGTTTTAGTGTAGATGAATTATCAAATCTGGCTGGGACTAAAGAGGGGAAAAAATAGTTTCTCCTGAACAAAAACGGGAACAATATGATCCCAATTAGGTCGGTGTATTCCTTACCAAACCCGGCGGGGACCGAATTGGGGAAATGAAAGTTTTTTGGGCACAGGGAAAAAAAGTACAATTATCATAATAGTGTAAATTCCCCTAGAAAAACCCCCCCCCCCCCCAAAAAAAGTCAGTGATTTACTTTTTTGGGGTTCTTGTTTTTCCTTTGGGTCCCAAAATTTCCATAGGAGCCCTACACTTTTTTGAATAGGTTGATAGAGTTAAAAAACCAGGAGTGGTGGCCAGTAGCACCAGAGGAGAGGCCTGACCAGGAGCCAAGACTTGACCTCTTCAATCCAATAGATGAGAACCCAGACAATGAAAAAAAACGTCAAATTTAGTTTTGGGTTATCTTAGGTGACCCCACATATACTAGTTATATAATTTTTGTAACTATGTGTACATGAATAAACTTACTTACTATCCCCTTTTCCAGCTGCGTTGACAATAACAGGATCTCCCGAGGCCTAGAAAGAGTTGATGTAGGTGTCCCGACTAATTGGGCGGGATAAAGATTTTTTTTGGATTTTTTTAAACCCCGGGGGGGGAAAGGGGGTTTGTCATTCAGGATAACCCCGGACAATCAGTGCATCATCGAGAAATATGTCTATCTTATTTCTAATGTGGTCCTTTAAACTTGTCCCCGGATCCACCCCACTCAGTCAAAATAACACCCATACATATGACGCTAGGTGAAAAGGAAATAGGGGTAAGGAAAAAATGGCCCCCTTTTTTTGTCCATGCGGGGAGAAAATTCCTGGAAAACTCAGTATGTGAGCTGGACTCAGTTGCTAATAACCCATCCTTGATTTACTCAGTTTTTTTGATAAAATTTTTTTTGATTTTACTGTATCTAATAATTTAGGTTGCGACATTCAGGGGTTACAAGGGCCCTAATAGAAATGTTTTGATTTTTTTTTCTGGGGGGGAAGGGGGTTTTTCATTACGACACAGGTAGAAATCAAAAAACCCTTTTTACCCGGCATAACTAAAGTTTTTAAGTTCAGTACATATTAACTATTCAAATCAGCAATATATGATAAAAACAATAGCGGGCCTACATTTTTTTGGTTTGAAGTTTAAAAATTTTATAAGGGGGCCCCCCTTTTGGGAAACCCCCTTTTCACATAGGACCCCAAAATTTTAAGAATGTGGAAAAGTCATGTAGTGATATGGTCCCTGTGGGGGGCAGCAGCAGGATAATACTCACCCCTCAGGGGCCCCTTAAAAACAAAACAGTTTGGTGTGTCATGGGCACCAAACACATGGTGTGTGATTTCTCCTACTTTATCCATTTATCAGCGATGGATTTCATGGGGAGTTTAAAATGTGGCCTGTAGTTATAATTTTCTCTTGAAAAATGCAAGACACACCATCCCGTAGAAGCCATTTTTAGATGTACTATCATTATTTTTGTTTTGCAGAAGTACTATGAAGATTCTATGTTCAATAAAGCCCAGAGAAAGGGGCCCGTGTTTCTATCACAACAATTTTTTTGAACATAGAATCCTGGGGTACCGGTGGTGACCCCCAGGGGCCTA